GTGGGCATCAGTTATCACTAATTTTGGAGACTTCTCCCTACAGTTCTTATTATTCCTGATTTGTTTATTGGCCTTATTGGTTATAGATATTTTAATTTGAAAGATATATACACTTAGATATATTTTTTTGTTCTCTGATTTCCTGTTGCAATGAGATAGAAAATAAAAGAACCGTTGTAAGACTAGCATGTTGATCTTAAGATAAAAGCTATAATTGGTTTACAGTTAACACAATCGGATCAGTCAACGTAAACACGCCAGTCCAGTCCATTGTTCCTGCAGCCTCCTCTCCCCCTGCTCCACCAAGTAAACAGCCTCCAGAGTCGTCCAAACCTCAAACGGTAAAGTTGTAAACATTCTTTGGCTAACCATGATTTGCCAAAACTCTGGCATTTGGTTACCTTATCATGATTGTTTAATATTTCCTGTATTGGTAATTATTTTATAGTATATTTTTTTTATGTATGTTTTACTGATGCCCCTAAATGACCAAAGGCAATCATATTGTTGTAACCTGCTTGGATACTGAGGTAGTTAGATTTTTTTATTTTTTTTTTGATAACTAATCTGCATTTTTAAAACAAGAAACTGTGAGTGATATAAATATATACCAGTATTTGATGTTAGGGAAAGAATTATTGTAAAGTTTGCATCATGCTTATTCCCTCATTCTCTTTCAATGTTGATTAAAGGGAGATAAAGAAACAGATTGACCTTGATATCTATTCAGTTAGGTTATTCAAATGTTGATTAGATACTTAGAGGATTGAGATGTTGTTTAGAATTTATTATAAGTAAAATGGAGTTTCATGGCTTAAAGATGCAGATTTTTTTTTTTTTTTTTGTTATACCCGTGTTCTTATTTTTTAAATATGTAATCCCAAGATATTTTGCATGTACTGTAATTTCTGATTTTATTGCTAGTTGACTTACCTCATAGCACCTTGGGTTTTTCCCCTTTTTTTAAGTAACACTTTGTTTTTGTAGGAGTGTGTAAAAGGTTGCTCTCGTCTCCAATTACCTTTTTTTTTTATTTTTATTTTTAACTCCTGCATGCTCTGACCACACCAGGAGGTAGGAGGCAGCACAGGGTATGTGAGGAACTTGCTACGGGAAGGCCTCCCTACTCGACCCGACTCGGACGACGAGGACCAGAACGCGGAGAAAGACGACTGGGAGGAAGATGCCCCCGAGAGTCAGCCACAACCGCCACCACAAGTCCCACAACCGTCCCCCCTTCGTAACACCACCACCACCACCATTACTGCCAGTCCTGTCGCCTTCCCTACCAGCCACCACCAACACAACAACCAAAATCCACCGACGAATCAGTCTCCCCCCCCCCCCCTTCCCTCATCCTCCCCGCCAGCCCCAACCTCCCACACCCCCCCAGTGCCCTCTCTCAAGCAACCCTCTCCCCAGTCCACAGTCATCCCAGTCTCACAGCAACACCACAGCGTGCCTGAGCCGCAGCCTGAAAATGAATTCCAGGTTCCCCCACATCACACTGTATGTTTTTGTTTTTATTTTTAATGTTGTTGTTATTGTTGTTGTTGTTATTGTTATTATTGTTTTTATTATTATTATTATTATTATTATTATTATTATTATTATTATTATTATTATTATTATTATTATTATTATTATTATTGTTATTATTATTATTATTTTGCGTTATTTTGTATATTAAGATTTAGAGCCAAGAAAATCATAGAAGTAACTGATATGTTCTTTTTATTGTAATTATATTTGATTATTCTTAAAGATCTTTAGTAAGGTGTAATGCAGATCTATTTCAAGGAAATGTTATATTTCCTAACTTGCATCAGCACATAAATACACCCACATATATGCAAACACACAGATGTGTGTATATATGCATATATATATATATATATATATA